CCCCCGGGACCCCCGCCGGGGCCTCGGGTCGGGGGGTCGACAACCCTGGTTAAGAGGCTACTCTTCACACAACAACTTTCGTGGTACGCCCTGACACTAGAACAGATGGCCAGACTTGCCCCGTAAGCACCTCATGACATTCACCCGCTGACCTGGTTGGAAGACCGCTTCTGGACTGTGCCACGGTGCACTCAGGGCGGTTGTGAACCGAATGGAGGAATAATCCGGAAGGACCTGGCCCGAGACGACTTATGGGCCAGGGTTCTGAGAGCCTAGTGCCAACTCCCTCTTTCTGACAGCCCCCCTCCGACTAGGTGGGAGGAAGTGATGCGTCAACCCCTGTTTGGAAACAGGAGGATCACCGATCGATATAGCAGGGTGTTTAGCAGTTCGGTCACCCCGTGGTGTAGCGGGGTTAAAAAAGGCGTTATGCGAGTAAAAGACATTTGAAACTCAGAGATGAGGGATTGGAAGACTGTGCAGCAACTGAAGGATACACTAAAATACTGTCACAATATTGAGGAAAACTTTGAAATGTTGATATTTGAAATTCCCCCGGAATGGGTGCGCATCCTGCGCAAAGGGCCGCGGCTGGAAGAAGGGACTGGGTATCTGTACCGGGCGACTCGGAAAGTGTGGGAAATGTGGTGGACGTGCGGTCGGATGACACTTTGCTTAACCTTTTTCACATAGGCAAGGATAATGTCCTTACCCGATATTCCCCGGATGCGACGAGATGGGGAAAAAACAAAGATCTACAAAGGATCCTTGTGTTACGGGACAAGGATGTATGGACTGCATATCAGCCAAACACCCCATTAGTCGAGCTCCCCTTGGATCCCGAGGAATGGCAGTGGTCACACCCACGGAAAAGCAGATCTCGGGGGAAGACAAAGCTGCAAAACCTAACAGTGAAGGCGACGTACCGCCTGTTGCGCCCCAAATTAAACATTAAGGAAAAGGTAAAGGAAAACTGGAGATCCCAATTAAATGTAGGAACCAAGGTGATCCGTCCTATTCGTTTGTTCACTGCCACCAGAGCCAGGCCAGCAAAGATGGCCTCACTGCAGTGGAAGATAGAACATCGTTGCTTACCCACCAACGACTGGTTGATAGATCGTACCCATCTAGAGCAGAGAGGACAGGCGTTACCTTGGTGCAAAGCGTGCCATACTGTCTTGCCCTCCCACAAAATCCCGGAAAGTAAAGAACACACATTCATGCAATGTCCGGGTGCAGTCCTCACATGGCGATGGTGGGACAGAATCTGGTCCCGTCTGGACACTGGGTCAAAATGGCCTTGGGACTGGAAAGCCATACTATGCGAGACATGGTCCTCACACACGGATAGCTCTTTCGAAAATAACATGTTTAAAACAGGAAGGAGAGCTGCCATGTGGGCCCTCCGGAGGAAACGTTGTATACATACCATAGAGGGAGCCTGCACGGCCTGCACAGCGGAGGGAGAGGTGACAGATATGATAAAACAATATGTCCAACAAGAACTAACGGTACAATGGCAAAGAATTACGAATTTATTGGACTTGTTTCACTCATCCAAAGATATATTACAAACAATCCAGCATTCTCAAGGGACTGGTTGGGCAGCGAGAACGGGGGCTGGATTGCCTCCGTCACATGGGAAGGTAGGCCTACCCAGGGCGACCACCAGGGAGAGTTTAGAAAGGACCATAGTAGTTGTTTCAAAGACTGGACAGTGGTGGGCCAGGAGTTCCCGCTACGACCATCCACAGAATTTCCCGACCCCTTCCCGCCCCACCAGCTAGCAATGGTGGACCTGCAATGGTATGGAACCGACTGTGCAGTTTGAACGAGGGCAGGGCATATAATGGTCTCATAGAGCATTGTCCAACCAAAAGCTGGTCCCTTTGATGTTCGAGGTTTACATTTGGAGATTGGCAGTTGGGACTGGGTGGAAAAGGGGCGGGGGGGGGAGGGGAGGAACTAGTTTGCAGCGGCAGTTATCTGGCGCCTGGTTCAGGGGGAAGAGGTTCTGTTCCTTTTTCCAAACTCCTGTTCAGTCAATCCTCTGGATTCCAAAGTAATTAATGCTAGCAGGAGTCTCCGGCTCCCTTTTCCTGACATACTCCGAATTTCTTCTGTATATGGGACGCTGGACCCATTTTCCAGCAGGTGCTGCTCCCCACCAATAGATGGAGCCTCTCCTCAGGTGCTAGTGGTGTCTTCTCTTACCAGAACCACTATCACTGGAAGGGGGATTAAAAAAAAAAGAAAAAAAAAGAGGGAGGGAGGGAGGGAGGGGGGGTAATAGCCAGCCCCTAGCTGGTTCTTCCATCTCATTCGATTAGGGGAGGTGGCCTATCCTGTCAGGGCAACCATCGGTTGCCGCTGCCAGCGATCACTGTGGGTCTAGTCCTTGGCCTCTACAACACCCTGGCTTTTTTTTTTTTTTTTTTTTTTTTTTTTAACGCCCCCTTCGGTGCTAGTGGTGCTGGTAAGAGCAGACACTGCTAGCACCTGGCCGTAACTCATGCTTTGTGACATGTGTGCACCCTTCAGCCACATGGGCTGTGTAACTGAAACTGGAGATCTTTTTTTTTTTTTTTTTAAATAACAAAAGGCTCCATCTATTGGTGGGGACTCGGGAGCGTCACCTGCCGGAAAATGGGTCCAGCTTCCCTTGTTTTCAGAATGATTCTGGAATATCCAGGAAAGTCTCTGGAAAGTCACTAAGGAACGCCTGCCAGCATTGATTACTCTGGTTTCCAGGGGATTGACTGAACAGGATGTTGAATGGGGAGAACCTCTTTGCCTGGTGGCGTCAGATAGCTACTAATGCCCACCAGTCCCCCCCCTCCCCCCCTTCCCCCTCTCCCTCCCTTTTTCTCTGGAGTTCATTTAGTGCCAACTCCATGTTTTCGGTGAGTGTGGAAGTTCACGATTTGCCAGCTAAGCAAAAGACTGGGTTACCGGGAGGTCATCGGAGGGGGGGACCATTTTCAAGAGACTGGTTTCGAAACCTGGGAGGGATTGAACTCGAGCTCTGTTCACTAACAGTGACATGTGTGTACCGTTCACCCATATTTCCGAGCCATTTGTCTCCGTCGAGCCTTGCATGCTGCAGCAACTGTCGGGGGTCAGTAGTTGGTGCAAAATGGCTGGCGGGGCCAGCCAAAACAAGGCGCTCGCTGTTTCTTTTTTTTTGTTTAGCGCACAGGGCGTTTGGAGGCCCGGGGCAAATGTGGCTTGGAAGGGCTGGTGGTTTGACTACTTATATTACCAGTGGGCCCAGTGCCCAAGGCAAACAATAAGGCAACAGGCAGGTCCGGACAGGTCGCCAAGTCCAGCAACTGATGAACACCAGCCCGCCAACAAATCCCCCGCAAAAGAAAAGAGATGCAACAATAGCATAGTTATGCACCCACCTTTGCCGTGGCCAAAAAAGAGGCAACTGTGATAAAACTACCGGGTGAACGGCCGGTCAAAATAGCTGTAGTTGGGGGCAACGTTCAGTCTAGATACAGCGACAACGACCGGCTGTTCTTTTCACGTGAAAGCGGTGGTGGCTTAGCCAGCAGTGAACTTAAAAAAAGAAAAAGAAGAAGAAGAAGAAAAGAAAGCTTCAAGAAGCCATCCCCTTCGCGTGGATCGGACCCTTGAAAAACTGACCTTCGATCGTACAAGGGGATTGGGTGGTCCGCTGGCCCCAGATCGAACTCTCGCCTTGGGTGGGCAAAGTGGTGAATCTAACGGATCACACTGCCCATGTCCACGCATACGAGATGACGTCCCCGGGAGCCACGTGTTCTGAGTTGCGTAGAAACCGGGACGGTGATGCTGATCTGAACTGGGCGTGTTTAGTCAGAGTGCGGGTGCTGGAGGGGAAGGACCACTCCTACTTCACCTTCCAACCGACCTCCCCAAAATCGGCACTCCCATTTGACCCGCAGGAGTGGCAGTGGGCCCGTAATGGAGCCACTAATCCGATCAGGCCATGGGAATACACGGTCAAACAAGGATACCAAATAATACATAAGACTCAGGCCACTACATCGACAGTGCAAAAAAGATGGGAAAAGGACTCCATATTACCCCTGACAGACCTGGCTGACTTTAGATGGGCGCCATACATACACATTATGCCGACATCGCACTGGGCCCTTCAATGGCAGATTTTGTACCGTTGCCTGCCTACCCCAGACTGGATCGTCTCGAGGACGGACCTGGAGCAGAAAGGCCTCCTTTCCCCCATCTGCCGATACTGTGACTGGTTTTCCCAACCTTCTCGAGCCACGCTGGAGCATTGTCTGCTGGGTTGCCCTATGGTCACCCAGATCTGGAGATGGTGGGATGCTGTCTGGACGATTCTCACCGGTTCTAGCTTCCCATGGATGCCAAGATTATTGCTCCTCGGGGTCTCAGCAGCTCCCCGGCCCGACTGGTCCCCCAAGGAAGAAAATTTATTTCACATGGTGAGAATTGAACTGCTAATGCTCGCCTAGCGGGCCCGCTGCTCGTTCGAGAGAAACCAGCACACTTTCACTGCCCCCCAGGCAAAGGAACACTTGTCACAATACCTGGTTGGGAGAGTCAGAGCTGCGTGGGACAAGACCAACCAACAAATTGTAAAGCTGAACGATGACATGTCCCTCTCAACATCGCAGAAGCGGCAAAAAGAAAATGAACTAACAAACCGCTTCACAAAAGAGTGGTTGGGTCCCAAAAGCATCATGGCTGATCTCCACGACTCCCGACTGCAATGGAAGAACTGGAGGACGGACGGGAAGGAATGGCCACTCAAACCTTACTCCCACTTCACGATCCCTTGCACTGCAAATCCCCCATCTTTCGTCCTCCTCCCGGGATGAACACTTCAGTCGGATACCATCACCCCCCCCGCCCCCTCCCTCCCTCCCTCCCCCTCATTCTATATCCCCGAACGCTGGTGACAGGAAAGGGTGGCAACAGGTGGAAGACGTCAGACACCAGGACAAGAATGTTGGGGAGATGTGGTGCCACAACGATAAACAGGGCGACTCTTGCATCGACTCTTACATCAGCACAAGGGGCCGCGCGCCCCGGCCAAGAGAATAAGGTCAAGGAAGGAAGTTCATACAGAAGGGGCCAAGACCACAGTCACTGTACAAGGGTGACTGGAGCGTGAGTGGGCACACAAACCGGGGACCAAAGGGAAGGTGGAGAAGGGAGACAAACGGGATACAGCGATGTGCTATACACATGGCCTGCTCCACGCTTCAATGGAATGCTCCTCACTACGCTTCGCTGGACGCAAGAGAACTGTGTATAGGCCCTGCTGCACGATGTCGGACAAAATACCCTTACAAGGGTATTTTGCCATGTCTTTGCATTCGGCACGGTGGTGGCGTCAACCACCATGACGTAGCCAGTCTGGAACGAGAAGGGGTGTGCACGCTTGGCGTGACGCTGAAATAAAAAATCCTCGGTCACTTAGACCCGGACAAAAATCGGTGAGAAAATTTCGTTAAGTGTGTGCGCGCGTTACTATAACGCGTGCTGTGGTGATTAGGATCAGTAGTAATGCCCCTCGACGGAAAAGGTCGAAGGGTCAGTTGGACTGATGATTGTGTCAGGTAGGACTATGACACACACTGAGACTTGGTCCAGTGCCTGTCTTCCTTCCGGTACTGAGGGTTCTGAAAATTTCGGTTTTTTACCTTCCCCTACTCAGCCTCCGAGCCGAGTACCCGCCACGTCTACCTCGATGTGGTGTGGTGCCAACCTGCCCGCCACTTGAGAATCTACCCTGCCGCGCCCCTCGATGCCGCAACCACGGCTGAGTACCAGCCCTTCGGGCCTTCCGTTGAAATACGTGCCCTTGCGGGTCACACAAGCACCCAAGGCGGCAGACATTTAGATAGGCACGCAGATAGGCAAACATGCATGATCACGTAGGCTAGAGTGGGCTCAGGCCATTGGTTGGATTGAGCTGCGTTAATTTATATATACTAGAGCTACTCCCTTTCTAATCGA